ATTATACCCAACTTTCACAATTCTCACTGACAGCCGATTGTTCTTATTTCCGCTCACCGTCTTCCAAACTGAAAAAATACGGTGAAGAGGAAGCTGGAAGCGAGCCCATCACCCCGACACAGCGTGAAAAAGTAAGTTTTTTTTTCGTTCTTTCAAATTTTTTTATTTTATTCACAATTTTTTACCCCAGATTGTAGGTTCGATTGCGGTTTAAACCTCGGCCGCAATATTGTATGCCTCCGTTTGTCCTCGAAAAATTCTCATTTTCTGGAAGTAGTGCTTGGGCATAGTTATGCGTTTAGGGTTTAGCGTATTATATTTCCGAAAAGTTTTACGGGACAATGAGTTTGATTTGGCTACAATTGTTTAATTTTTACATATTGGTTGGTTGTTTTAAGAATATTAATCATGTTTAGAGGTCGACACTTGTGTTACAAGTTAAATCGGTTGAGAATCAGTTATGATATTGTTATGTACCCATAATGACATCTTTTAAACCTAACATGTTATGTCATATACCTACAGGAGTTATATGTGTACGTGTATTTTATTTTTAAGTGTTCCCCAATATACTTTAGTAAACCTATAAAATATTTCGAGATACCCCTATTACTGACTAATATTTATTTTTTCACAGAATATGAAATGAATATAAATTTGTAGTTAGCCAGTTTTCTATTCCTCACTTTTATAAATGAGGTGGAGAAGCTGAAGAACAAAATTTCATATTCTCACATTAAGGAAATAAAGCGCGGACTCCGTTCGGATACTTTATCGATTGTTCGAAAATGAGATTCCCGTGGCATCGATTATTGACTTTGGTCCATAGTTATCAACCGGACAACATGGCCTTTAATATTAGCACGGACATAGAGTTTCTATTTTCTATAATGTAGTTTTTAGTGATGTTTGGACTACATTCGAAATAAGTGTACGTTAAGGATAATGCTATGGTTCATAGCAAGAGCTTCATCCGTATTTTTGGAGGGAAGCCACCCTCCCTACCTCTGTCCGAAATTTTAGAGAAACTGAAAGAGGCTCTCGCACAGAGGCCGGAGCCTCTAGCTGTTTCTAACGTTGCTCGCTTATTTATTTTGTTTGGTTTTTGCAATATTTTATTTTGAACGGCAAACTATCATGTCCCTATTTTTATTATGGGGTACATTGATGACCTACATGTATCAGTTGTATATAATTTACAGTGATTATCTGACCATGTTATGATTGATCTTAATTGTAATTTCATTGTGCATGAAGTTTTTAGACATGATTAATATATTAGACTGATTACCCACAAATACTTTCTGTAATAACATATATACCGACTTAACACTCATGCACATACCCCTATTGTTAGAGGGAGTGTTCCTACGGAGTTCCTTAATTGCCTCAATCGTCGAAGGATTGACTGCTATCGACCACAAGGATACCTGTAGCTATAGATATAATAGTTAAGTAACCACCAATCATACTTACAATATCGGTGTTTGTACCCCGAGAATATTGTTACATACGTGCAAAACGAACATACCTCAATGCAATCTTTACGTACCTGCAAAATGAAGTTATATGCTCCGCTGAAGCATATCTATACTCTGGTTATCTGTGGTTGGGAAATAAGTCATGCTTGATTCAAAACATTTAATATCTCTTGGTAACCAAGAATAAATTTATCATTATTGTGTTTCCGCGTATACGTCGAACTGTAAGTGAAAAAAAAAGAACATATTTTTACTGTGGATGGCTAAACAAGTCATACATGACATGATTAAGTTATGTAGTTTGTTACTCATGCATCATTAATCCCATGGATTGATTGTTTTTTCAGACATATTATGTAATAATCCGAACTGTAGAACACACAACAACATTCGGTCTACAAAGGTTGAGAGAGGAAGTGCTCTCACCGAGTAAGCAAATTTGCCCTTATGTGTGGCAATGATTGAAATCACCTACACTTGAGGATACTTAGTACTATATAGATAATACCCAAGGAACTATTATTTATACCTCGCATGTCGGTGTTTGTACCCTTATCACATTCTCACGTACCTGCATAAAATAGCCACATACCCTAGGGTTGATATTAACTACTAATAATTATGGTCTCATATGCTTCCGTAAAGCGTTTATATGCCCTGGTAACCCGTGATTAGGGTAGGGCCGTTTGCGGTTCAAAATTTTTACTTTCTGACGGTATTCAGAGATGAGTTCATTATAGTAGTCTTCTTGAGACACTCCGAATTGTCAGAATCGGTAAACAATACGTATTTGTCGTAGATAGTTAAACGAGTCAGACTTGACTTATTTAGATTGTATGGTATATATGTATTATCATATTTCAATCTCCACTTGTAGATGTCTAACAAAGTCATAAGTGACTAAGTTGAATTATGTTGATTGTTAGAGTACATGATTGCTGCCACAAATAGAATTTTTTTAGACTTATTACATATTAACCCAGATTATGGCGCACACAATAATTTTCGGTCAGGGGCATCTAAGCATATGGTCTGACTCATGGCGCAGATGAGTACTCCAGATCCGATGTGCTATACCCCTAATCTGACTTCGTGTATGAAATTCTACTAGGTGTGTACCTACTACAGTGTTTCATATAACTAAAAAATCTAATATCATGACATGATTTCCTAACTTCGTACCTTTATAGCTCTTGTTAATACTTGTGAGGATTTAGCATACGATCGAAAGTGACCTTCATACGTTAGTACCTACGCTACTATGCCAACGTGTTTCGATACACCAACTGGAAATGTTAATATAAAAATGAGTTTTGTGGCTCTGATATGTTGTCAGAAATCGTTGGCTTCAAGTATCATAGAAAAATGAGCACTATTTCAAACACGTTGTTCGTGTCTATGTATGTCAATCCATTCTACCGTTCCCTTTAGTGTACCAATTACAATCAATTGTGTATGGGCCTAATGGATGCAACACAATGTCCTCCAATTCCTTCGTACAAATTACAATAAATTGTGTATATGACAGTAATACTAAAAAAAATGTCATTGTGCTTTGAGAGGACAACTAAATACCCCCCTAAATAACCCGTATGCCTCTGTTACGTTTCATGATACCTGTATTATTGAATTATCATACACCAAAAAAGAGTGTCAAATATCCGTTGTTCGTGTTCATGTACCACTATACATCCAAATTACAATTGCGATTCTATGCAAATGAGGTCTTGTTGTTGTATAATTAACTAAAATATTGCATCATATCAAACACACCAAAAATAATTATATGACAAATGAGACGTCCTTGACAAAACCAAAGATTACAACCTTCGAAAGAAATATGGCAACGATCTTTATAGCTTTTTCTGTTGTGCCCGAAATGACCGCAACGATAGCATTTTTGTGACTGCTTTATATGCTGGAAATATAACGTTGTTTCTTTAGTTGACCAGGTTACATAGACAAAACATGAGGATTAGTACATTGATTGGAACAATATAGAAACAAATTTATGAGAACCTCTCATCAAGCGGGCATATTCGACACAGGAAATGAACTATATCTGCTTGAAGACGAAACTCATGATCTTAGTTAATACATAAAAATGAGTTATTATGCACACAATTTTCAATATCCAATTGCATGAAAAACCAAATATTTGCAAATAGGGTTTGAATATATTTATAGATGGATATCTTTGAAAATTTGTTAAGTGTGAGTAAACATCTTCGAGTAGAGCATCATAATTTCCCACAAAATATTCTGATTTTACCTCTAATCGAAAATCTACTCATTCCAAATAGAGTTACTAAACTTAAAAAATTATGAGGTCCGTCGATGTGGTGTTCGAGATCGAAAATCAGAGTGATGGGTGTTCGAGATCGAAATCGGGGAATGAATGGATGTTGAAGATCGAAAAAGCGTGAGCAATCACATGGTAGGTTCAATTTTGTAGTCGTCGGTGCTTCTTCACCAATTTCGCGATCGGAAAATAAATGCAAAGATTTCATTTCGGTGGGTGGGGAAGAAGGATGGTAAGGGAGTAAAAAACAAACAATACGAAAAAAAGGGGGAGTGCAGTCCAAATTTTATCAAATAGAGACTGAATTTAAATACTTTTGGACAAATAGGAATTTAAAACCAATTGTACCTTTTTTTTATATATAATAGATTAAAAAATAATACTAATATTTTATTAATTAATGAAAATATGTAAGATAATTTTGATATTTTTATCTTTACAAATACAAATAAAATAAATATTTTAATAAATATTAGAGATATTTTAATATTTATATATAATTTACTTTTACTATTATAAAATTAATGTTTTTAAATGAAACAACAACAGAATATGAAAAAAAAGAAGATATATTAAATTGGGACTGAAATAATATAAATGATTTGTTTGTTCTATAAAAATAATCCAACATATTTTTTTTTTAAAATTACTATATTATACATATTTATAATTTTTATATTTTTATAATACAAATTTTATGTATCATTTAAGAAAATATTCTTTCAAATTATTTACAATACAAATAAACCCAAACTATTATAGTAATAGTTTCTTAATAATTTATTTATTTTTTTATTTCGATCCGTTTTATAATAAAATATTTATTTATTTTTAAAAAATATATTATTTATTTAACATTACAAATATTATTTTAATTTAGTATTTTTTTTATTTTTATTTTTTCTATATTTTAATATAATATTAATATTTTTAAAATTTTATCCAAAATCAAACTGATAAATAGTCATGAGACAAATAATTTTATACTGCTGTAAATTTATTATTCATACGAATATAGTATAAAATTAATGAGCGGGGAAATTATTGGGTGCGGTGGGCGTAGAATCTAGAAGAATCGAGGAACGAATAGGATGGGCTGAAAGGATCACAGAGGACAATTGAATTGAGAAGGGCCGGTGCAGTGCACCGGAGCAGGGAATAGCAACTCGATATCATCTAAAACTATTATTATTATTAATAATAATATATAATAATTTTCTTCCCATTTCACAAACACAAAAGCAAAGAAAAGAGAGACCTGTCCTCACCGCTCTCCCATGTCGCTTTCCCCCTTTGTCACTTTGCCCTAATCCCAGACTTCAATTTTCCGTCGCGGCGGAGGAAGGAGCAAGAAGAAGAGGAGCCAGCGCGTGGACATATTTATTCTTTTTCCCTTTTTGTTTTGATCGTTTACTGGTGTGAATTCTCATTGTTGGAGTTGGTAGGGCGGAGTTTGTTTTGGATGTGATTGAAGTCGGCGGCGGAGCAGCAGCGATATTTTAGGGTTGCAGGAATAGTGGTTTTGATGCCGCCGGAGCAATTCCCTTGGGATCGAAGGGATTTCCGTAAGCACGACAGATCCGGGTCCGACCCCCGCTTTGGCGGCGGAGGATTCGGAGGCGGATGGGCGAATAGATGGCGGGAGCCGCAACACCACCCGCACGCGCCGCCGTCTTTTCAACACCACCACAACCATCAGCCGCAGCCGCCTTGGTATTCTGATTTTCGCACTTCCCGCCCTATCCCTCCCGGTGAGTAAACAGCCTTCTTAATGTTATTACTCTTATTATTATCTTGCTTTTTCTTGGATTCTTTTTCCATCCGTATTTGGAATTTTTTCCCAGTAAAGATTGAGTATTTGTTCCACACCGTAACAATTTACGCTATTCTTTCGGTTCCGCTTCTTCTTTGTTAATAGATATTGGGTGGTTAAGTAGGTTCTAAGTATTTTATAGGCTATGTAGTTTTCTATTGGAGAGAGATTTGGAAGTGAAAAGCTTTTCGTGCCATTAAATTGCACAGTTTCTTGAAGTCGGACATGGCAACTACTTGAACTCTTTTCCCTATTTTCTTTTTATTTTTTGAGTAAACTCTTTGTGACATAATGCATGTAAAGGTTTTCATTTAGATGGTGTTGGAGAGCTCGGTCTATGATTGCTTTTCATTGTGCTACATTATCTGTAAAACTGCAACATTTTATTAAAAAAATCATGTTACCTGGCTTTGTCTCGTTTAACTTGTTTTATATTCGTGTTAATAGTCTTTCAATCCTTCTTGGGGGATTTGTATGTTTTTTTCTGAAGGTCATGGTAAGCAGGGTGGATGGCACATGTATCCTGATGAGGCTGGTCATGTATTTATGCCGTTTGGGTCTAGGTACAATGACAGAGATGCGCCGGATGATAACTTTCGACCTTTTGGGTCTCGTGGTGAAGCCAAATATATCAGAAATAACCGAGAAAGCAGGGGATCCTTTAGCCAAAAAGACTGGAGATCACACTCTTGGGAACCTGCAGTGTCATCCAGTGTTTCTGGGAGGCCAACTACTGAGGTGAATAATCCGAAGGCTATAGCGAACAACCAGACATTCCATAAGGTGAATAACCAGAAGGCCACAGAAAATACTCAATCAGGCCTAAAGGTGAACAATCAGAAGGTTGCAGAGAATGGCCAAGCATTCCATAAGGTGAATAATCAGAAGGTTTCAGAGAATGCCCAAGCATGCCATAAGGTGAATAATCAGAAGGCTGTGGAGAATGCCCAAACATGCCCTAAGGTGAATAATCAGAAGGCTGCGGAGAATGCCCAAACATGCCCTAAGGTGAATAATCAGAAGGCTGTGGAGAATGCCCAAACATGCCCTAAGGTGAATAATCAGAAGGCTGTGGAGAATGCCCAAACATGCCCTAAGGTGAATAATCAGAAGGCTGCGGAGAATGCCCAAACATGCCCTAAGGTGAACAATCAGAAGGCTGCGGAGAATGCCCAAACATGCCTTAAGGTGAATAATCAGAAGGCTGCGGAGAATGCCCAAACATGCCCTAAGGTGAATAATCAGAAGGCTGCGGAGAATGCCCAAACATGCCCTAAGGTGAATAATCAGAACGCTGCGGAGAATGCCCAAACATGCCCTAAGGTGAATAATCAGAAGGCTGCGGAGAATGCCCAAACATGCGCTAAGGTGAATAATCAGAAGGCTGCGGAGAATGCCCAAACATGCGCTAAGGTGAATAATCAGAAGGCTGTGGAGAATGCCCAAACATGCTATAATGTGAATAATCAGAAGGCTGCGGAGAATGCCCACACTTGCCATAAGACAAGCAATCAGAAGGCTGTAGATGATTTCCAAACATGCCTTAAGGCAAGTAATCAGAAGGCTGCAGAGAATGCCCAAACTTGCCATAAGACAAGCAATCAGAAGGCTGGAGATGATTCCCAAACATGCCATAAGACAAGCAATCAGAACGCTGTAGATGATTACCAAACATACCTTAAGGCAAGTAATCTGAAGGCTGTAGAAAATGGCCAAATATGCCATAAGGAGAATGTGCAGAAGGCTGTGGAGAATGTGCAGACATGTCACAAGGATAATAGTGTGAGCAATGATTCTGCTCATCCTCCTCCTGATCTTTTATCAAGCCCATCTCAGCATGTTCTGAAAGAGAAGCAAGAAAAGAATGATGCGGCAGCATCTGGTACATTGGCGAGCCTGGGTCAGAATCCTGGAAAAGAGAAGGACCTAGGATCAATAGATTGGAAGCCTCTGAAATGGTCTCGGTCAGGGAGCTTGGTGTCAAGAGGCTCTGGTTTCAGCCATTCCAGTAGCTCCAAAAGTCTGGGAGTTGACTCTACTGATATTATGTCTGATCTACAGAAGAAAGATGCGACACCAGACCAATCTTCTGCTGCTGCTGCTAGTGCCATGACCAGTTCCTCTGATCCATCTGATGAGACCACTTCCAGGAAGAAACCCCGCCTTGGCTGGGGTGAGGGTCTTGCAAAGTATGAAAAGAAGAAGGTTGATGGGCACGATGACGATGCCACAAAGGAGAGACTTGTTGTTGGTGCCACCAGTGCAGGAATAATGTTGTCGCCTTCTGTGAACCAAGTGCTTAAAAGCCCTAGATTTGTAAATGTGTTAGATTGTGCCTCGCCTGCAACTCCAGCTTCCGTTGCTTGTAGTTCTTCACCAGGTAATATATCAAATTATCACCTACACTTAGTTTTTTATTGCTCTTGCATTTTGTGCTATCTTTTTGTTCCATTTATAATCATCATTAAAGGGGGTTCACTTTCCATCCTTAAAATGATATTTGCCTCCATAATTAGCTCCCCAAGTAGCTGCGTGATATTGTTCTCATATGTTCTTGCCATTTTCTTAGCTATCTAGATGTGTTCAAACTTTTTTTATTTTTTTATTTTCCTGTGAGAAGCATACTGTAGTGCCTGGACAGAAGTGCTCTTGGCTTATCTTCAGCAACCCCAGCTGCTGGGTTTGTAATTTGGCCCTGTTCCCTGTTGTGTAAACACGGAAAAAGAAATATTAGGAAAGCACAGTCTGTTTTGTGTTTCTTTGGAAGAAGTATTTGTTTTGATTGTCTAGTGTAGCTATATATGAAGAAGTAGAAACATGTATGGGGATCACTTTGTTTAATCTTGCAGTTAAGCAGTAGTACTATGTTCTAAAGCTGTCTTAACCATTTAGCACTAAAGAAATTATTTCTGCTGAGTTTGATGTCTTATAATCTGAGTTAGCTTTAATTTTAGCAACTTGGATGTGTTTCTTCATAGCATCTTTTGGTATTATGTAATATTTAATTTAATTGTAGCTGTCCATTTCTGTTTGGTCTAAATATTCCATATTTATGGGCTTTCAATCACAACCTAGTATTTCAATTTTTGCAATTGAAGATACTTTCAATGGGAAATTCCATGTAAAGAAATGGTTACTTCTAACTATTTAGCTATTCAATGGACGAGACATGTTTTTGGGAATATGATCTATTTTAGTTGGGAACTCTGAAGCATAAAATGTTTCTTTTAGTGTTGAAGTGTTGACATGGGAGACGTATTTTGGTAATTTTCTAATTTCCTATGCAAACCCAAACTTGTGGGCTTGCAATGGTATCATTCTGCTGATCTTATGTTTCCACTGAATTGAAGGCTCATCTAACTGTAAAATCTAATGTGTAAAACATGTTTCCATGACATGCAATCCATTTGATATGTTGCTCAGCTTCTACTGACCTACTTGTATGTTATGCTGGTTATAACTAGCCATAAATTATGAAAGTTGCCATCATTTAAAACCATTGTTTTATGTCATGTATTATGAGTTACTCTGAATGTTATTTAGGCAGAGATTCACTCGTGTCTCTTTTTGATTTACTTGCGGAGCATGTGCTGGGATATAGGAACGCGATTGCAGATATCTGTGTATATATATTATATATTTCATCATTTAGATTTCTTTTCTGAGTTTCTTTTTGCTTGTATCTTTAAAATTTCAGCTAGACTTCCATTGTGAGAGTTTGTTGTTGCTGTTAATTTTTTTTCTACTTGTTTTTGTTGAATACTGGAAAGTATGATTTTGTCACTAACCATGTCTTTTGAATTTCATTAGCTATTTCCCATGTTTTAAGTTTTTTTTTTTTTTTTTTAAAATGTGAGATCAATTTAGCACATTCATAGTATCAGTGCTTAAATTAATAATATTGTACTTTCTTATTTCCACTGTTCTATGATACCCCTGTTATGCCAATTGCCAAGGCTCAAGCATGGTTATGGTGTCATTAGTGCTCAGTTGGAATGATTCGAGATTGTTAATTATTATTTGAATATTTTTTGATATTATGAAGCTGATATCATTTATTGATACAGTGAACTTGTGGTGGTTTGTCTGTTCATAATGTTAATAGGTTGCATTGTGGATGTAAATGCAAAGTAAGGTATGCTTAGTATTTCACGCTAGTTTATTGAGTTATTTGTTCATCTCATGCTATTAGTTCACTGCTTGATTATTGAGTTATTCTAATGGATAGGATTAAAATGCTTAAATTAATTATAAATTTTTAAATAGCTGTTAGATAAGATATTGCAATGTTTAGGTTGTACATATTATTATGTTTACATGAAATACTCTTAGCTAGAATATGGTTAATTTTAGATTAGTTTATACCAAGTAAAAAATAGGACGAATGAACTCTTAGCATAGTTGTAGGCTTATGATAAATTAATCGTACTGGTTGAAGGATTAATTATGTTTAAATTTTCTTTTATTGTATGCGAGTTTAATTATTTGAAGTCTACTAGTGATAAGTTGGATAAGATAATAATATCCAACCCAATTACTCAAATTAAACAAGGTCCTAATGAAAAGTGTCCTCTTGTTGCAGGCACTGCAGGTATTGTGGAGAAAGAATCTATCAACATAGCAGATTCAGATAATAATACTGCTAATCTCTGCTGTTCGCCTGGTATTATGCCCCTGGACTACCATGAGGGGACTTCTTTTAACCTAGAGAACTTGGAGCTTAGTTCTATTGCTAATTTGAGCTTGTTTATAAATGACTTGCTGCAATCCAGCGATCCTAATTCAATGGAAACTGGTTATGTGAGGACCTCCTCAATGAATAAGCTGTTGGTGTGTAAGGTTGACATATTGAAAGCACTTGAAGTGACTGAATCTGAGATAGATTCTCTTGAAACTGAACTCAAGACTCTGTCTGGTGGATCCAACAGCTGCCATCCATTTCCAGCAGCTTGCCACTTGAAATCTGGAGAGCCCCTTTTAGAACCTTGTGAAGAGCATGCTGCTGCTTCTGGTAATACTGCTGTTCCTCCTCCATTGCAGATTGCATCATCTGGAAGCCTGGTTGATGAGGATGCACCTACTGCCCAGGAAGGAGAGGATATGGAGGCGATGGATGAAGACATTGATAGCCCATATTCAGCAACTTCTAAACTTGTTGGGGCTGTAGTATTGTCTGGGGAAGATATTTGCACTTCCAAGACGGCAGAAAGTGTTGAGGGTTCTGTTATGCTGAACTCAGACAATTCCAGGAACTCGAATCCTGCTTTTTCAGAGAATGGGTTGGGCAACCAGGATAATGTGTGTCCTGTTGATGTTCCTTATTCCATTTTGCGTGATAGCCAAAATTCGAATATTGTGGGTGATGTGTCCTGTGATCATATTTATGACTCTGTGTTAGCTTCTAGTAAAGAGTCTGCAACTAGGGCTGTAGAGGAGTTGAATAAGTTATTACCTGATGGGAAAGGTGATGTTGGTACTTCAAATGTGTCTGGGATCTCCTCTTTTCAGAGGGATTCCTTGATGATTAAGGAAAAGTTTGTAGCAAGGAAGTGGTCTCACAAATTTAAGGAGAAAGTTGTTACGCTGAAGTTTAAGATATTTCAGCATTTCTGGAAAGAAGGTCGTGTTGTTTCTGTAAGGAAACTTCAGGGGAAGTCACACAAGATGTTTGATCTAAGTCGAACTGGGTATAGAAGGAATCGATCCTCTGTTCAATCTCGTATTTCTTATTTTGGTAAGTATTTATCTTGCTATGATTCTTGCCTTGATGTGTTACTTCCTCTTGTGTTCCACTCCTATCTTTATTTTTTCATATATAGCTTTTATTGACTATATCATACTTACTCCAATGGCTTTTGGATCTCCTCATAACTGCACACACTACTAGGTTTGAAGGGCTGGAGTTCGATCCTTGTTAAATGTTAATACAAAACTAATAGGAATGCTGCTTTTGGCTCATTAAAACATGATATAAAAAATTGTAAGAAGGTGAGAGTTAAGTATCAGTTTCCAAATAATCTTTGAACGAGATTTATTGATGTCCATTCTTAACATTTTCTATAGGATGATGCTTCATGTGGTTGTTTAAATTCCAGGGGAAGTGATGTAAAGACTCTGAGATATTTAAATTTTTTGTTGATTTGATGCAGCAGGGCATTCATTTCTTGTTTATTCAGCATTTATTAGTTTTCCTTGTGGCTTATGTAATCTGTAGTTGAAATTGCATTTTCAAGGAATGTTTAGCATTCTTCTGGTAATGTTGCATGACACTCTTGACTGTTTTTAAGTACCTGAAGACTGAAGAGGTCTTTGTTGTAGGTTTAAAACTCTGTACTCTACTTCTAATGTCAGCTTCAAGTTTTTGTGTATTATATGCTATGATGCTCCACTAAGGGAAAGTGTTTAATGTTGATCTATGCTGATATTATTGGTACTTGAATCATTTGCTCCTTTAATTTGAAGAGAGCACTTCTGATGCTCTGTTGAGTAAGTATAGAATGCTGTTTTGAGTGCATATGTGTGGAAGGAACCATTGATTTTCCTTTCATCCTCCTTTATCCTGTCATTCTCTGCATATTGTTTAGAGAAATTCCATGTCTGAAGTATTCTAGTGCATATCACCCTTGACTCTACAGCAATATGAGGTCCTCAAAAGGCTTTCTAAGATGCATTTTCGGTATTGATATTATACCTATGTATAGATGTTTGGGTAATTAATAGAATTCTGTCGACCATTACTTTGAGATCTGTTTCCGTGTTTCCTCTTAACAAACTTGGTAAACATAGGAATTCTGTCAATGATACCTTTTGAGTTCTTTTGCCCAGCAGCGTGTGAAATAGGTTTTATGTAAACTTTTGAGTTAATTGTGGAATCTGCATTATGATAACTAGTATAGGTTAGTTGTTCCCAATTGTCTAAAATTTTCTTCTAATTTTCAACCACGGATCCCGGGAGTTAGTCCTTTACCTGCCTTCTCTTTTGTGATGTCTATGATTAGTTTGCAAATGATGTTGGGATACTTGTTTTCTTTCATCTTTGTTTACAATCCTGTGGAAATGGGATCTGAGTTTGCCTGAACCAATATGTTCTGAAAGATTTTGCATTTCTACATTGCAGCTGGAAGTCATCCGATAGTTCCTGCAGAAGAAGTAATTGATTTCATTAATGGGTTGCTTTCATCATCACCATTCAAACCCTGTAGGAATTTCTTGAAGATGCCTGCTTTTATTTTGGACAAGGAAACAAGGATGTCAAGGTTTATCTCAAACAATGGTCTGGTTGAAAATCCTGGTGCTGCTGAGAAAGAAAGATCTTGTATAAACCCATGGACAGCTGAGGAGCAAGAAATCTTCATTGATAAGCTTGCTGTTTTTGGGAAAGATTTCAGCAAGATTGCAGGTTTTCTGGAACATAAAACAATTGCTGATTGTGTTGAGTTTTACTACAAGAATCATAAATCTACTAGCTTTGAGAGAGCTAGAAAGAACCGAGATAAGCAAAGCAAGCCACAAGCTACTGCTTACTTAGTAGCTACTGCAAAAAGGTCAAGTCGTGAGGTGAATGCTGTGAATCTTGATATACTTGGTGATGCTTCGATAATTGCAGCTGCTGTTGATGATGGCGTCCGCATGAAGAAGCTAGAATCCAGGCCCAGGATCCTTTTGGGTCCAGCTGGTTCTCATAAACTGTCCAGTGGTGATGATAGTGCTTTGCATCGGTCAAATAGTCTGGATATGTATTGTAGTGAAACTGCTGCAGCTGATGTGTTAGCTGGCATTTGTGGTTCACTGTCATCTGAGGCTATGAGCTCTTGCATAACGAGTTCTTTTGACCCTTCTGATCGGTGTCAGGATTGGAAATGCCCACTAGCAAGTTCTGGTATTAAGCTACCTTTGACTCCTGACGTAACACAGAATGTTGATGATGAATGCTCAGATGAGAGTTGTGCAGAAATAGATACAGTTGATTGGACTGATGAGGAGAAGTCTATCTTCATTCGGGCCATATCATCTTATGGTAAGGATTTTGCTAGGATCTCACAATGTGTTGGAACCAAAAGCAATGATCAGTGCAAAATATTCTTCAGCAAGGCTCGAAAGTGTCTGCAGTTAGATCAAATTCATCCTGGTGCTGATGGTGCTGAACCTGGTGATGTTAATGAAGGTGGCAGTGATGTTGAAGATGGCTGTGTTCTGCAGAATGTATCTGTTATATGCAGTGATAATTCTGAGAACAAGAGTGAAGAGAATCTTATAGCCGAAGAGGCGAAAATGGATCATATGTCTGATTCTGTGGAACCCCACAAGTTGAAGCCTGATGTTAATGCCTGTGGAGAAGGTTCTAGCACATGCCTTCTTGATTCTATGGCTGCCAGCCCTGTTTTAACGAACACATCTGCGAATGGCTGTCAAGTGGATGCTATGCCAGCAGTCGACATCAGTGCAGGCAACAAAGAGCAGAATGATGCTGATGGATCTGATCTGAAGAGTAGAACTATGTGTTTGTCATCCAATAGCAATTCTGTACAAGTTGAACTGGGCGTTGATTGTGGCATGCCTAGTAGGCCTAGTTTAGCTGCTGATAAGGCTTTATCCAAGGCTCCTGATGGGCAGCGTATGCAAAATTTACCTGAAGAAAAGTTGGATGGTGGTAATATGGCTAGATTAGGAGATACTAATCTGGCTGATGTGGTGTTCTCCAGTGCAGCAAGTGACCTGAATCCAGAGAATCAGCTTGATGGGAACGTCTCTCAGCCTTCTGCTGATGCACATTCTTCTGTGCAAGTTCTATGTGGGTCACAGGAGGAGGCTGGCCTCAAATCCTACCCGCCTGAAACACCCGATGTGACCTCATTGCAGCCAAATGATCTTATGGCCTCTGTGGCGCCTTCTGCTCTCTTTTCTGTTCCCATCACTTATCAGAGACACTCGGTTGGTAATGCTCTAGATAAAAGATGTTTACAGACTATGGATACCACAGGTGATTGCCAGCAACAACGCCCAGGTAACTCACTTTTAGAATCCATGCAGTCTTCCCAGATCCTGAGGGGGTACCCAGTTCCAGTGCATGCTATGAAGGAGATGAATCTGGGTGTCAAACGGAAAAATCTTGTTCTACCTCAAGACATTTCCATTCGAGATGGAATGTTGCATTTGGATCGGCATACGGATTTCTCCCTTCAAAAGTGTACTGGTTCTAGACATCAGAGTGAAGTATTCAAGAAGCCTTCATTCCAAGAGCAGAGCTGTGGGGACAAATCCAGACCTCAACCAGGGTGTTCATCTGGTTCAGATAAGCCTTCACGGAGTGGTGACGTCAAGCTGTTTGGTAAAATTTTAGTGTCTTCCAATAAGGAACCTAATTCTGAACTACTAGATTCTGGCCCTGATAACTCGCACCTTAAAACGAGTGGCCAGTCTCTGAGCTTGAAATTAAGTGTTGATGAGAAGGTTCATTTGCACTCTTCAAAGTCCAAGTTTGATTGTAATAACTTTCTTGGCACAGAGAACATCCCAGTTGGGAGTTTTGGTCTCTGGGATGGAGGCAAGACCCAGGCAGGGTACCCTCTACTTGATTCTACTCTATTGTTGAGCAAGTATCCCGCTGCATTCGCTAATCACTCTATAAGACTGGAGCAGCCTCCTCTGTGTCGAGTATCTAAGAGCAATGACAATCCCTTCAATGGTGTCTCAGTTATACCAAGAGAGCTGAACAGCAACATTGGACTATCGGAATTCCCAGTATTAAGGAATCTAGAGCTGCAGCAGCAGCAGCCTTTAACAGTAGATATGAGGCAGCCACAGGATGTAGCATTCTCAGAGATGCAAAGAAGGATTGGGTTTGAGGCCGCCATGGCAGGAATGCAGCAGCAGCAGCAAGCACAGATGATGGTTGGAATAAATAATGTTGTGGGAAGAGGAGTAATTCTGCACAACGAACAATTCCCCGGGGCCTCAAATCCTGTTAAAAAGCACTATGCTACAGCTCCTAATTTTAATCTTCAGGCAGGGTCTGGATGGCGAATGGACAAGTAAAAATGGGATTTAGGCAGGCGAACAGGTAGTGTGCTGAGATTGCTCTTTCTTTTGATGCAGTGTATCATACTACATAGTATTTATGTGCTTTTTTCAACTCAATGATAGGACAGTTTTTCTTTTTTTTTTTTTGGTTTCATCTGTTTTTGGTGTTCTTTCTCGGTGGGGTGTGTGATGGGGTAGGGTAGGAATGTTTTTGGATATTGTGATGTTTATTGCAGCAGTAGCCTGGCCTTTGTATTTGTTGTATTCGGATTTTGGTGGGAGTGAGTACAGAAAATAATGTGTCTCAAATGCAATTTCTGTTTTGATGCATTGCATTCTTAAGGCCAGAGTATCGCTTAATTGTCTTATTTTCGTGCTGCTACTCTGATGCCGAGTTGTGGAGTCGACTAGGATATTGTCCTTCTGTCGACTCAACATCAATGTGCCGTGGTGCGTGCTTAATTTTTGTAAGCTATGTATGTGTATATTATATGTAGCTATTGAAGTTCCTGCGTTGTGATGGAAAGCTTTACATATCTTAGGATGAATATGGCTTGGCTTGGCTGACTTGACTGGATATTTAGTGATAAATCAATCGTTTGAATCATGCTTCTTGGTAATTTTATAGTATTTATTTTTGTGATTTGGGTTAGCACATTTGAGGGTAGATGTGAATTCATTTCTATTTTCTTTAACTCATTTTTATTGTTTTGTTTGGGCATGTTTTATATTGAAGTTTATGTACTTTGACACACTTGCCATACTCTGTTCTCCCAAGAGTTGAATAATGTTCAGTGCGCACTTTCGGTTGTAAATATCAATTTAAATTATATATATTTTATACAATGATTTATGAATAAAATAAATAAATAAATAATTGACCAATTCTTTAATTTTATAGTTTTTGTAAAAATTAAATAACAATATATCTAAAAAAATTATAAAATAAAGAAGTAATGAATTATTTATTTATTTATTTGTTTATTTTAAAAATGATTATTGAATATATTTTTCTTTTATTGGTATAAAAGTTTTGCATAATTCATATTTGTAACTAAATATCAATTTTGGATAAAAAAATGTGTTATATGCAAATTTTGTATCAACACAAAGGGATTTAACATAATAAAAACAAAATATTTTGTGGATTTCACTAAAATTTAAAGGATGTTATATAATTTCCTAAGTATCAATTTAACATAATAAAATCTTGTTAATTGGATGATAGGTGAACCAAGGAGGAAGATGATAAGATTGGATATAATTTCTCATTCATCATCTTACTTACATTAACAGGCTTTTATTCTAGGTGAAAGACTTTTCAAGTCATAATAATTAATTGTATTTTTTAGAAACCAAGAGTCTAGAAAAATATAATGAAAATCATAAATTAGACAAAGCACATTAATCATCATAGCACATTAATCAACATACTCCCCCTTGTGTGCTTTCACAATTCCAAGGCGCTCACTTAATTGATAATTGATGAAATATCTCATTCGGAAGAACTTTGGTAAAGATGTCTACAACTTGCTATTACTCTTACAATAAATGAGCTTCATCTCGCCTCCTTCAATAACATCACGAATAAAATGATGCTTGATCGCGATGTGACGAGTGTGACTGTGATAAACTGGATTTTTGGCCATAGCAATTGCCGATTTATTGTCACAGAACAATATAGTTGCCTCATTTTGGATCTCACCGACATCCTTCAAAATCCTTCAAAGCCAAATGATTTGTGATGTTGCAATAGCAGTTGAAACATACTTTGCTTCAGCTGATGATTGCGCCACAGATTCTTGCTTCTTTGATGACCATGAAATCACGCCCGAACCGAGAGAAAATGCATAGCGAGAGGTGCTCTTCATATCATCTACACAACATCTCCAATTGCTATTGCAATAACCATACAACTTAACACTTGAATTCTCAAACTTGATTCTAAACTTTGTAGTACCACTAATGTACCTCAAAACCCGTTTTGCTGCCCCTAAGTGATTTTGGCTTGGATCGTGCATAAACCTCGACAAAAAACTTGTAGCAAACATAGTATCCGGCCTGGTAGCTGTAAGATAGATCAAGTTTCCAACCAAACTCCTATAAAGAGAGGCATCCACTTTCTTTGCACCATCATTTTTCAACAATTTTTCACCAACTACAAGAGGAGTTTCGGTAGGACTGCAATCATCCATTCCAAACTTAACCAAAATATTCTCAACATATTTCTTTTGACAAAGAAACACTCCATTACCATTTTGATGAATTTCCATTCCAAGGAAATGATGTAGCAGATCCATATCATTCATCTCATATCTCATTCATCATATCTTTCTTAAACTCAAGAATCATCTCTTCATTATTTTCTGTATAGAATAAATCATCAACATAAAGAGCAACAATGAGAATAGATTTACCTTGAGTCTTCACGTATAGATTCGGCTCACTTTTGCTCTTTTGAAACATGTTACCCTCAAAATAAGCATCAATATTTTCAGACCAAGCGCGAGGCGCTTGCTTCAACCCGTACAATGTCTTCTTCAATTTGTATACTTTGTCTTCATCGCCTTCCTTGAGGAAACCTTGTGGCTACCTAACATAAATTTCCTCTTGCAATTCTCCATTCAAGAAGGTTGACTTGACATCTAACTGATAAAGTTTCCAATCCTTTTGGGTTGCTATGGAGATAAGAGCTCGAATCGTGTCGAGTCGGGCTACTGGTGTAAAAGTTTCATTAAAATCTACTCCGGGCTGTTGTGAGTAGCCTTTAGCAACCAATTGCGCCTTCTTTTTCTTAATTGAACCATCTGGATTCACCTTTACTTTGAACACCCATTTAAATCCAATAATCTCCTTATCATTTGGCTTCGCAACCATCTCCCAAGTCTTGTTCTTTTCTATGGAATAAATCTCATCTTCCATGGCTTTTCTCAAATCTTTATCGTTGTAAGCTTCTTTGAAGCTTTCAGGCTTTAAGACACAAAAGTTGCACCTTTCATAGATATCACTCAAACTCCTTAATTTCTTTGTAGTTGAGTCGGGAGAGGACGACGATCTCGAACTCGAACTTGAGGATGCTTATGGATTACTAGGTGTGTTTGGATGATCTTCTTCTTCATTTTTTTCTTCTTCGGTTTCAGATCCCTCATCCTCAAAGTGAACCACCTTCTTTTTAACTTCTATGTTCTTCCAATTCCAAGAAGCATTCTCGTTGAATAAAACATCACAGCTAATTATAACTTTGGCATTTTTCAAATTCAGAAGCCTGTACCCTTTCGACATAGTGTTGTACCCAATGAATATGCACTTTTCACTCACTTCGTCCAGCTTCTTTCTCCTCTCATTTGGAACTTGAGAATAACAAATGCATTAAAATACTTTCAAGTGCCTCAACGATGGTTTTCTTCCACTCCAAGCTTCGAATGGAGTTTTGTTGTACAAGGCCTTTGTGGGACTTCTATTAATCAAGTACACTACTGTATTCACAGCCTCTCCCCAAAAATCTTTTGGTAAATCCTTTGCGTGAATCATGGACTTGCTCATCTCCACCACTGTTTGGTTCTTTCGTTTATTTACTCCGTTTTGTTGAGAAGTATAACAAACAATAAGTTGTCTAATTATGCCTTCATCTTCACAAAATTTGTCAAACGCATTGCTATTGTACTATTTTCCTTGGTCATTTCTGAGGCATTTAATTACACACCCACTTTGCTTCTTAACAAGAGCTTTAAACTTCTTGAAAATGTTGAACACCTCAGATTTTTGTTTCATAAAGTAAACCCATGTCATGCAAGTGAAATCGTCAATGAATAGGATAAAGTACCTATTATTGGCATGACTTAGTGTTTCCATGGGACCACATACGTTTGTATGAATCAGCTCCAGTTTCTCCGTAGCGCGCCAAGCACTTCCCTTGGGAAAAGATTGACGATCATGCTTCCCAAGTGCACATCCTTCACAAACTTCATGGATCTCATCAATTTTTGGAAGACCTTGAACCATATTCATTTATTGAAGTAGCTTAAGGCTTTGGAAATTCAAGTGCCCGAGTCTTTTATCCCATAACCACGAATCTTCAAGTGTGTGAGCATTCATGGCGACATTTCCTCCAAACTCGAAAACAAGTGGAAAACTTCGATTTCTCTCCATCTCAATTGAGGCAACCAGCTGCTGTGCATCACTTTTATCAAATATTAAACAACAATTATCCTTAAAATTTACGGTATATCCATGCTCCACAAGTTGTCCAACACTTAACAAATTTTGATCCAAATCTGGAACAAATAAAACATCATGAATGTACTTCGCCCCCTTTTTTGTTTGCTCACAAATTGTACATTTTCCAAGCGCTTTGCCACAGCTCCATTTCCCATCTTCACTTTGAGTCTATGGAGCTATTCATATCCACAAAAATTGATTTATCTCACGTTATATGATTACTACAACCTATGTCCACATACTATACACCATTCTTGTATTCCGTTGCACTTTGACAAGCATAAAACAAATTCCCTTTACTTTCCCTTTCTTCAGAAAAATGGGCCGACTACTACTGATTTTTGTTCCTGCAATATTTCTCCTTGTGACCGAATTTTTTACAGTGGTAAGATTTTGGCTTGCCTTTAAACCAACAATCATCCGAATGGTGACCAATTTTCCCACAAATTGTACAATTTTGGGAATTGGTTGAGTTTCCTATTCGATCAAAGACTTGCCTTTTTCCCTCGATATTGTTTCTTCCGCCGCCTCTTGAACTTCTTCCTCAGCCTCGACCTTGTCCACCACCATATCTGTTTCCCCTTTTTGGATTACCATTTTCACTATTTTTTTCACCTTCTTTAGTACCCAAATTTAGCTTAGTTTGGAAAGCACTTTCGATTGATTTTTCGGAGTGTCTTTCCATTCTCTTCTCATGGGCTTTTAACGAACCCATCACATCTTCGATCGTCAAGGAGGGAATATCCTTAGTTTCTTCAATGACAATGCTATCATAACTGGGAGGCAAACTAACCAGAATTTTCTCCACCACTCTGCTATCTCTAATTTCCTCACCAAGCGATCTCATTTGATTAAAAATGCTCATCAACCGAGTGTAGTAATTCTGAACACATTCATATTCCTTCATTTTTAAATTCACCGATTCCCTTCTAAGTGTTTGAAGATTAACATTTTTTACCTTCAAATCGCCTTGGAACTCCTTTTGAAGAATCTCCCAAGCTTCTTTCGCGATGATTGTTCTCATAATCCTTGAGAACAACTCCGTTGATAGACCTTGTTGGATAAAAGAGAGAGCTTTTGCATTCCTCTTTCGATTCTCCTTCAATATTTTT